GTTGAGTCAAGTTTTGAGTTAGAAGTGAATTTCCGAGCAAAGGATTAAACCTTATCTGCTGTAGATGTCAGGACTTCGAATTGATTGAACAGAGGAGAGATTAAGGATTTGCTATTGTTCAGCACCCTCTTGCAGAGCCGCCAATAATCTCTAGAATCCAACTTGCGTGCTGATATACGTTTTCATTGCATCATCAACCAGTAACCTCGCATCTTTGAGGACACGCTTGAACTCGTTACGAAGAGACAAAAGGTGATATGTTGCAATCGGACGTGTCGCTCTGGTATAGACGAAAGAAGTGATTCCTGTGGGTTATAGCGGTCGCGCATGCAGGTTAGAAGCCAGGAAATGAATGCTGTTAAACTTTTTCACTTCCTTGCTGGAAGGAAAGCATTGATGCCGGCTTTCATCTAGGAGGAGACCCCAGACTCGCATTTATGGACAGGATGATTAAAGGTCACGCCACAAAGTAAGTCATGGTATGAGTTCTAATCAACACGTTGATAACAGAAATATATTTTGTTGGAAGGAGATTCTAGACTGCATGATCAGATTTGCCAAGAGGGCAGAACTTCAAATTACGGCGAGTCCTGGAGAAATGTAAAAAAAGAGATTTAAAAGAGAAGCGTGCCCATCGGCAATACTAGGGAAATGCGTGGGGGATGTCTACCCCTTACGTGAGAGATAGTGTGATTGTGAAATTAAGGAGTTGGTTTGCAGTGGGGTCAGCGAGAGTGTTTAAGTTACCTGGCTTGGTGGGCCTTATGTCACCGAATATAAATATATTTGCAGACGGGTGTAGAAAAATGGCCTTGTCTATATTATCAGAAATACTATCTAGCACGCAACAGTCATGAGAGGAAGGGGAACACTAGAGAAAGAAGAGTTAGTTGACTGCGTTAACTAGAAACAGAAGGAGATACATGTAAGTGTGATTCGGAGATTCAAGAAGTATTTCCCTAGACAGCGGGATATGTATAGGTCATGCACGTGGTCATTATAATCGTTCCTAAGGAGAGGAAGATAGCAATGAATCAAGAAGTCAGAGAAGGGGATTGGAGAGTTAAGATTATTTTCACAGAGAGCTAGGATGCTCGGAGACTTTTCGAAGAGGAACGATTCCAGCTGGAGAAGGTTGTACGAATGTTGGTGAAAGAAAGGTTGTAGGAGTTAGGTGATTTTTGTTGAACTGGTTTAGATTGATATCTTTGGTATTTTATTATCATGGTATGTTGTTTTGGTAAGGAAATGTCTAGGGTAGTAGTAGAAGTCTGTTGTCTAATGTAACATGTGCAGGAATGGAATTGGCGCAGAGTGTAACATAATGAGGTCTCGGGGTTGCCCATCGGAGGGACTTGCAGGGACAAGGTACTGCAAGGACCCTGATATTATGCAACTGTTGACCAGAGCAGCCTCTCAAGACGCTATGCAAGAGTTCGAGCTACTAACTACCAGTAGGGAACAGCTAAGTATGAAGAGACGTTGCCACTATCATCACATATCACAAAAATTAATGATAGCAGCGCTATTAAAACCTGAGAAATGGAAAGGAACCGGGAATCCCTTTTTATACAGGAAATAAGGTATGAGCTTCATCTCCTGTTCAAGAGATGGAGTATGAACCGGGCAATAGGAAAGCTTCTCAAGTCCTATTAAAAAACAAAAAAAAAATCAATCAAAGCAAACAAAAAAAAAATGGAAAAGTAAAATGCTTTCTAAGTATATATGGGGAAATTAAAAACAAATGCAAATCACACCATAAATATCATGGAAAATAATGAAAAGAACATCAGACTACAAAAATCAAGCCAGAAACTGCAACCTTTGGAAGAAAAATAGATATTATTACATTCCCAGACCAAAACAAACTACTAAGTAAACAATCAGAACTCATCTCAATATGCAGACAAGTAAAGAAACTTTTACTACGTTACTCAAAAATCGAAAATTGAAATATATAAATAAAAATCAAGTAAAAATAAATAAGAAAAAAAAACAAATAAAATAAATTAATCCAAGCAAAGAATAAACAAATTAACAAAGCACAATTTGTTTATTGAATTAGAATAGACTGAAAATAATAAAATAAATAAGCAAAAACAAGTAAAATTAATCAATCCAAATTAATAAATAAAGTAAATGATAAACAAATTAGCAAACCACTCTCGCCAAAATAACCGATAGAATATACTACAACAATCAATCTAAAAATTGCATGAAAAAATGGCTGTAATTACCTTCCCAGACCAAAACAAACTACTAAATAAACGATCAGAACACATCTCAATTTTTTTTTACTACGTTACTAAAAATCGAAAAGAATAAATAAAATATATAAAATGCAATAAATAGAAACAAGTAAAATAAATTAATCCAAATAAATTAATTAATTAAGTAATTAACAAACCACTCCCGCCATAATAATCGTTAGAATAGACTACGTGCGATGCACAAAAGACCCGTATATATAAATAGTCGTAAGAAAAACTAGCACATCTGGCCTGATACAGCATATTATTATTATTGCCTTTAGCATGAAACAGCCTGTCGCCTCTGAGTGTTGACTTCAATGTTCACTTTCATATATATATATATATATATATATATATATATATATATATATATATATATATATAAAAAAAAAGAACAGTAAGATATATAATCCGGTGTTCTTATAGATATTTTTATTTTTACAAAATAGTGCTCAATGTAAATTTACAGAGCATTAATATTATAAATTAATTGATTTAAAATATAGATTTTTTTCGCTACACAGTTCTAACCACGTTTCAAAATTTTTTGAAACATGGTTAGAACTGTGTAGCGAAAAAAATCATATTTAAATCAATCAATTAATAATATATATATATATATATATATATATATATATATATATATATATATATAGAGAGAGAGAGAGAGAGATATGAGATATTCAAAATCGCATGGCTTGTGGAATTAGAACAATTGACCACTGTTGACTAAAGGGCTTGGTTCGAAATTCTTGCGTATATTATCTAAAAGAATGGCGGAGCGTTCAGTGGACGAAACGTCGTAAATATATCAATAATGATAAGGACAAGAGTCCGAACGATGTAGCTAGTGTGTGTGTGTGTGTAGACACACACACACATTATATATATATATATATATATATATATATATATATATATATATATATATATATATATATATATATATATATAATGTTTCTATGTGGCTTTTAATTGTTTTTCAAAAAATATACTTTTTGTAGTTTTCTCTTTTTTGTAAAGTAATTTACTTTTTGCTAATTTATGTATAGCTTTTACTAGTTTTGCATTTTTATTCAATTTTTCAAAAGTAGTTTTCTCCTTACCCTTATTGTTATTATTATTAGCTGTAGCAGAAATCAGGAAAAAAAAAAGATTTCTTCATTTCTCCTTTTGTATCTATCTATTCTTTACAAATTATTCACCATACTTGTTCTTTTTTACCATTTCTCTCTTGCTTCAATGTCTGAACTGAGAGAAGAAAATTAAAATATGCTGATGATGGTGGTGGTTGTGGTGGTGATGGAAGTACGCGGTCGAAAAATGTATTCAGTAAGCAACGAAAAAGAACGAAAGAAAGAAAAGACACATATTTTCCTGTTCGTGTCTCCACGGCCATACACTCAGATATGAACGAAAACAAGGAAAGTAAATATTGTAAATGGAATGGAGGCAAACCTAAGCAGGGTTGAAGGGTGTGTGCGTGTAAAGAAATGAAACGCAAAAGAAACGAAATCGGAAAATTGGAACGAATGCGGCGGAGACAATGTATTGAAGTATGCCCCGAAATAAGTCGTTAAATTTGCGGGTCTTTATGGGTTCAAGTCAGGGAATGGAATAAGCCAACTTCAGTGCCTAAAATTCCCAGTCCAATCATTGGATTTTGCTGTGAATTTTTTTTCTTTCTTGTTTTATGTTGGTTTTTTGTTTTTTTATTTATTATTGTACTTTCGTTAACTAGTGCGCATGCGCTGACTGTCCATACTTTGAAATCGTTCGTGGATTAGGATCACGCTATACAGCATATTATTATTATTGTTTATGTTGCCCGTGTTGATTATAATATTTTTTTATTTTGGTTTATTGTTTATACTGTGCTTGCATGTTCTTTATCTGATACTTTATTCTTGATAAACTCAATATATCTTCGTATATTTTATTTATATTATAATTATAATTATTGTATTAGTAGCAGTAGTAGTAGTAGTAGTAGTAGTAGTAGTAGTAATAGTAGTAGTCAATGAGATTCCCGACATATCGTAACTAATAGCTTTATGGGGAAATCATGTGACAGCAAATATTATCAATAATCCACTTTCTTCAGTATCCTAACTGTTTTCATAATTGTTGTTTACTGGATGCTGTCAATGTGGACTTTGCGAATAAACACTGCAATACAAATAATCAAATTTTATCTTTAATTCCCTATTTCTATACATTATACACCCCAGATAACGAATATGATTTTTCTTTTTATATAGAATTTTATAAAAGTTTATGTTGTGGTCCACTTTTCTATATTGTAAATTAAAACCCCAACGAAAGACAAAAAAAAAATTTCATTCTCCCCGTTTCGATGCAGCTGCGAAATAGTATTTAATCATCTATTTTTCAAAACTTTTTCGCATATGACTGTCGAGTAAGCATTTCCCATTACAACTTTTAAGAAAATAAGGTAGTGTTAATTCAATGATTTGTTTTCATCGTCTTATCAAGCAATTTCAGCTTATTTAAAGTAGGAAAATATTTTAGATGGTAAGAATTGTGGAGGTGGATATAATAATGTTCTAGTGATACACGTCTTGCTAATTAACCCATAATTGGGGGAATAGAGGTGGATTTATATCTTTCCCAAGGGTAAGTCAATATAACGAACCCAATTGGAATTGGGACGTGGATCTCTGATTAACAATTCCGAATTATTATCTATTACACCACCCGCACATCCAAATTTACAGCATCTGGTAGAGCACCTGGTATTCCCATGGTATCACCTATCTAAGTACTGAACAGACTCGACTTTGGTTAACTTCGGTGATTGTACGGGAACCAATGTTTCAATATGATATGCCCGTAAGCCGCGTTGTAAAGTGGAGTATTTAATCTATGGTAATATTAAAAAGAACTTTCAAAGAAAAAATGATTATTTCTAGTCGCAATGCCGATCCTAAAGCATCGCTGGCGTTAAATTCTACAAATTTCTAAAGCAAAGATTTTTGGGATCGTTCCAATCGTTCCAATTTTGATCGGGACTACTTCTGCACTCTTGAGCCAATCTTAAATTTTCGCGCAAAGTTCAGACACTTTTCAAAAATTTCACTTTATATAAATTCAATTCAGTCAATACTTATTGTCGTGTCATTTTTGTCGCCACTAATTCTATTCATTTTATCTAGGTTTTTGGTTCTTTTTCAACAATATCTGTTTATATTTCTGATAATGTAAATAGTGTACTTTTTCAAACAGTTTTACACGCTTAAAATCACTTCCATTTTTATTGAAGTTATAATTATAAGAACGTAGATGAAGAAAGAAGAGGAGACAATACTTTAAAATCTTTTGTTTAAAACTTCAAAACAAAAATAACATAAGCATTTTATAAATTATTTCAAGAAATTTTCGTTAACCTTGTTGCTGTTAACTTTATTGTGGCGTGCAAACAAACACCAGCTACATTTCAAATTTACAGTTAACTTTATCTATATTGCTACGAAGCCTTGGGAATCTAGTGGTAAATGATTTTTACATACATGATTTCAATTCTGAGATACATGTTTTAAAATAAAAAGTGGAATGGTTAGTAAAGAAATAAAAAATAATAAAACGATTAATATGTTTTTTTGTTTTTGTTTTGTTTGTTTTTCGGTTTTTTTTTTGTTTTTTTTTTGCATTTATTAAAATGTAACAGAGAATTGGGTCAGCTCGATAACAGATTCCGCCTTGGTTGTATGTGTTGCTGTAAGCACCAGGAGTTGCGTCCCCTTCCACAATGGGCTTTAGCGAGAAGACCTTCTATTTGGAGTAGATGAAGCTGACTATTTACATATGAACGATACTGGACAGGTATTAGTCAATAGTCAGTTTGGGTCTGTAACTAATAGAGCTATAGAGCACCCGTTTTTTTTTTTTTTTTTTCTCAGTCGATGTAATGGGCTCTGAACGTGCTAAAAACAATCCAAACCAAAGCAGACCAGATCAGACTAGATGAACACATAAAATTTATCATGTATTAGGTGATCATTGATCTCCACCGGTTTGTTTATTTATTTTCTGTGAATTTCCGTGTCTTTTGTGGGATATTGGAGTGATTTCAAATTCAGAGTATTAATCCTCCTAAACTGGCCGCTACCCAAGGCTACGGGCCCTAGTCTACGTTGCTATTTATCCCATAGCTCGAGGAAAAAAAGATGAACTCATTCCTTTTTCAAATGCATGTACGCGAAAGTTAACGCAAAAGATTAATCCGGGATTCTAACTTGTTGCATTTCTAACATCTATATCCGCTGGTCTACATGCATATTTATTCTATAAATTAATCAAAGTATTATTTTGTATTTTTCTCCGTAAAATATATATAAAAAAATATTTTGGAGAAAATGGTATCAACCAGGCATTAGTTGTCCCGTCTTCATATCTTTTTCACTTTCAATGTTTACATGATTTTTGTTTCAGATTTTGAAACACACAAAGCGGATCGTTACTATCGGAGCGAGTAGGAATGATGGTAACACACAATATTACTTATTATAAAACGCAGATTGTGTGTGTGTGTGTGTGTGTGTGTGTGTGTGTGTGTGTGTGTGTGTGTCTGTACGTCTATATATTAGATCGGATTTCCTACATTTTTCAACCGATTTCAACAAAACTTCACAGGACTACGTAGAATTACATTGTGGTGGTTCTGACAGCGCCAAAAATTGGAAAAACACAATTGTTTTTGCACGAAATCAATTTGAAAACACGATAAAACACGATTCTGTCGCCAGAATGAAAGGGGGACAACTCATATCGAGTTATACTTATTATCAAATCCAGGTTGTTTGTGTGTGTGTGTGTGTGTGTGTTCGTTTAAATATGGGACTGGATTTCCTACATTTTTCACCCGATTTCAACAAAACTTCACTTTTTTTTGGCAGGTAGTGTTTTTTATTGTCTTGCACACTTTTTTCTTTATTTTTACGTTCAGAATGCTTTAAAAATTCCATTTACAAGACAATTATTTATAATAAAATTCTATTCAATCGATAGACTCATAACGATTGAAAACAATGTTTTTGTTTGAGTTTGGGTTTGACCAGTTCGTAAAAAAAACAAAAGACAAAAAAAATAATAATTAAGACATGCATGTCCGTCAACCTTAAACAATAATCTTTGTCAATTTTATTTTTCAGTCTTTATGATGGTCGATACTTGATCTATCTCTTACTGTTACATCCCCGGGCAACGCCGGGCTCTACTGCTAGTCATTACTAAGATGAAAATCAGAACATTTTTTACTAAAATAATCACCCAATACAAGGCCCAAGAACCATTCAATGTAGAAGGTTACTGAATGAGACAGTTTTATGAACCTAAGAGGAGGAAGCAAGTGCAGAATTTTATGATATTTTGAATACATGGCGGTTGATCTTAGGCTTGAAGAAGTTAGTCCTGCGCTAGTCAGCTCGGATTTCCGAAAATGGATAGTCTCCTAACGTTTGCCTCGCAAGACAACTATACTATAACTGCGCCACGCCACGTGCTACACAACCTAACAGAATCAGGAGAAAACAAAAGAAACAAGCTGGCAACTAGGAAAACAGGCCATGTGACTAACGCAGGGTCAGATCAAAGAAGCATTTTCTCATGATTGCGTTACACCATGTAGCGGTTTCTCAGCAAAAAGCTCTCTCAGTTGAAATTCCATCTTACAAATGGAAGGGAAACTTGTGTGTAGTAGCATTGTGGGTCATGGATTTGAAAGCCTGATCTTGAGGAACATCGATATTGTGCTACAGAATTAACTGTGCCCAGAAAAATACTAGCCAAAAGAAATCCGATCATTAAAATATATATAGGTCTTATTATTTGATATCTTTATTTCTTTAATACAGCTGTTTTTCTCATTACAGCTTCGTTCGGTTGAATTCTTCCATGTCATGTTTTTCTAGAAATTCTTGTTATTCTTCAATAGGAATTATTTTCGTGTTCGTTCCTCTTCAAGAAATTCGATCCTGTTGTCATTTTGTCTTTTAGATATATAGAGAAAATGAGAGCTGCTAAAAGGCTGACGACCTCCCCAGAGTCAACTATTATCCACCACCAACCATCAGTTTGACAATCATAGGGATATATTTATTTTATCGTTGTTCACTCTTTACAAAGCCCAAGAGCCACTCGATATAGATGGCTGCAGAATAAGAGGCACGATTTAGGCGGTTATGTGGGGAAAATAACAGTTAATCCAAGACTTGATCAGTTTAAGATTGTAGTGATCGGAAATACACTCCTTTGGCAGTCGGTTACACAACGCAGCTTTTAGCGGGAAGAAGCTCTTCGAGTGGAACGTACTTTTGAACAATTAAATGGAATGAGTGTTTTTGTTACAATGTTGCTGGTATGGCGGATCCTGGTCGTGATGCGTAGAACTGACGGAACTAAGGAATATAGTTCGTCCGAGGAATTTCTATGGAAGTAGCGATAGAACAGTGGGAGTCTTCCTGCATACTGTTTTTGCGAGAGATGGGTTTCATGATGGAAAATAATTTGTCACTCACAAGGACTCGGAGACTCCTTTGAACTCTATTGAGACTAGGAAGTGAGGAATAGGCAGCTCCTGTCCAAATATGACAGCAGTACACCACTTTACGCCTGATCTGGCTCTTGAAAAAGTAGAAGGGAGTACGAGAAGCCAGCCACTTACGGGAGCGGCACAGGAGAACCACCATTTTTACAGCAAATTTAGCGATGGGTCGTATATACGAATTCCACTTGAGGCTTGGGTTAATTTTAATACCCAGTAATCGCACAAGTATTTTTGTTATCACAATGTAAATTCAGGTTATTTCGTTAGACAAAAAGATTTCTAGAAATCGTCATAATCCTTATCTAAGAAACGTTGGAAAATAGCTGTCGATATCTATCAGTTGACTTTGCAGTTCTCTTCTTAAACAAAACATTTATACTTTAATTACTATTTCTTTTAAAATCTTTGTCACTTATTACCTTAGATGTTTTGGTTCACTACATCTTCCCTTTTTTAAAATCCTTCAACTGAAAGGACTTCTTGGTTTCTCGTTACAATCATTGTTTTGAATTCAGAATTATCCTTCTCCTAGGCCGGATGCCACGCAAGGCACCGAGAACCGAGAATACCCTGCTACTTAACCCATAGCAGGAGGCAGAAGAGATGTATTGATACCTTTCACAAAAATCATTAATCATTACGTCTATGTTCACGATTATTTTCACAAGCGGAATTCACAAGTTATTCATTGATTTCTTTGCTTTCGTTAGGTTATTTTTGGTTTCATTTCATTGTATCTGGTTATTCTAAAAGTTCTATGAAGAAATATATTTTGCATTTTCTTTTCTTTTTCTACTTTCTTCCCTATCAGACATAACTAATTTCAATACAAAACCAAAGGGAAAAAATCACCAGCAAACAAAAACAAAAAAACAAACACCCAAAATGAGGCAGGAAAATAACAGTTGTTTCTTGAATAATATATATATATATATATATATAGATAGATAGATAGATATGTGTGTGTATTATATATATATATATATATATATATATATATATTTATATGGGAAGATGGTGTGTATGAAAGTTTGTATGTATGAGTATACATGTATATATACACATGTTTTCTGAGTAAATATATATATATATATATATATATATATATATTTTTATCCCCCAAAAAATATATATATATATACATATATACATAAGCATTTTTTTACATATGTACATGTATCGGTATACATAACATATACGAGAATATATCTGTAAACGCGCACAGACATCTCTCTCTCTCTCTCTCTCTCTCTCTATATATATATATATATATATATATATATATATATATA